CATTGTTACCAATCTTTTCTAAAATTCTTGAGAAAATAACTTATAAATTTAAAAAAGAATATCTTGATTCCTCAGCAGTGTGGTTTCCGTAAGCACTTCTCCACACAAATGGGTGTGTTTAATCTATTTTTTGTTGGGGATATTGTTTGGGGATATTCTTAGATCTATCTAAGGCGTTTGATACCATTGGTCATGTCATCCTCCTCAGGAAACTTGAGCATTATGGAGTACGTGGTGTAGCATTGTCTTGGTTCCAAAGCTATTTGTTTGACAGAACACAATTTGTTATAATGAATGGTACTAATTCTCAACTTGCTTCTATTAAATATGGTGTACCTCAGGGTTCTGTTCTTGGTCCCCTGTTGTTTCTGATCTATATAAATGATATACACTCATCAACATTATTCTCATACTCACTTTTTGCTGATGATACCAGCTTGCTGTTGGCTGATAAGAAGGCTGAAGATTTATTACTGATTGCGAATCAAGAGATTCAGAAACTGTATGCATGGTATTGTTGTAATAAGTTATTGTTGAATGTTCAAAAGACCAAATGTGTTATTTTTCGCTCCAAGGGTAAAAAGCTTCCAGATGGCATTACTTTTCTTAATGTTGGAGGCCAGGATGTTGCGCTTAGTGAAAATGTTCAGTTCTTAGGGTTAACCATGGATGAAGATTTATCTTGGAGAAATCATTTAGATGCTGTATGCACAAAGTTGTCCCGTAGTGTAGGTGTCATTTTTAGATTAAAATTTATTTAACCTGAAAAAGTGCTGATAACATTATATAATAGTATTATTCTTCCTTATTTGACATATTGTAATGTTGCTTGGGGAAACACTTTTAAGTCATATCTTGATAAGTTGAGAGTATGGCAGAAGAAGGCAATACGGCTTATTACTAATTCTTATTATAGACATCCAAGTTCTCCATTGTTCCTTCGACTAAGAATGTTACCACTAAGTGGATTTGTGTCGTTCAATTGTATATTGTTTATGTTTAATCTTAAGTCTATGCCTCATGAATGTACGTTAAAAGATTTATTCCGTCAGAACTCGCAAATTCATAATTATAATACACGTCAAAGATGTCTTATTCGTCAGCCTTTTGCAAGAACAAATGTCACTCTGACCTCTTTCCATATCTCTTGCATTAAAGAATGGAACAGTCTACCTGATGATATAAAAAATAGTACAACTCTTTCTAGGTTTAGAAGGTTATCTAAAACGTACCTACTTGAAAGACTGACATAGTTTTTATTTGCATCTTAGTAATTTCTTATTCTGAAATGCTTTTTGACCACTAAGGACCTACTCGTCAGTGTGTTTGCTGTGTATGGGCGTGTGTGTGTGTGTGTGTGAGAGAGAGAGAGAGAGAGAGAGGGTATTTATATGCTCTATATTTTGTAGCTTAGTATTTTCATCCATTGTATAATCATACGTAACATTCTTTTTACTGTAAATGTATGTATTTTGTTGACTATATAGGGCCCCGCTCACAAGCTTAGCTTCTAAAAGGGTCCTAAAACCAATCAGTTTATGATGTAATCAGGTTAGAATATGTTGATTGATGTACTATTACCAGTCTCTTTTTTATGTAACAGATTATATCATGCTTTGTGTGGTTTTGAATAAAATGAACTGAACTGAACTAAACTGAACTGAACTGAAAAGGGGGGGGGGGGGGGGGGGAGGGAAGAAGAAAAAAAAGAAGTAAAAAAAAAAGTAAAACGGCGGCGCGATTTTTGGAAAATCCTGGATCTGCCACTGGGTCAACCCCCCCCCCCCCCCTTGGAAAAAAAGCTAGATCCGCCCCTGATATGAATTCTATCAGAAATATAAAGAGAGCAAATCAAAGACGCCTGAGAATCATTAAATCTTCCAATCATATTAATCCAGGAATTTATACTGATCACAATGAGGTCGAAACCGGCACGTACCGAAAAACATCAAGAAAAAACGGCTTAAATTAAATTTCATCTACGCATTATATCCCTCAAAAGCGATTCCGAAGAATAAGATTTTTTTTAATATTGTAAGAAAATCCATCCAAGAGACTATTATATAGCTAACGTAATGAAAATTGAGCAATCTCTGACCGATATTGCGCAATGACTCGAGCGGGCGGGGAATCCCAATCCATGCAAGCAAACTTTAACCCAGTTCATTATTATGCATACTATATCTAGCAGCTCGAGCCATATCAACACAGTGGCGTATATTACATTTGTATGTACGGGTGGGGGGGGGGCAATCAAATGGCAAAAACAATAAAAAGGAGAGAGCGAGGGGATAGATGAAGGAAAAGGAAAAAAGAACACGAGTTTATATAAGGAGATTGCTCGAATTCGCTTTTCAAAGATTATTCTATTTTGTAAACAGTCAGTAAATAACATGATTAGTCTTCAATTAAATCAATTTGATGTGGCAGCAGAGAAGGAAATGACATGGATATAGCTAGGCGTGAAAGATACAAGACATATACGGTAAAAGAGACACTAGACTTGAAGGAATAATTATGTGCATGTGTGTCTGTTTCGCTTTCAATCTGCACAATTTTCCTAATCTACATGCAAGGTGTGTATCCCCTGACTAGCCTGGTCAATCTGCCCTCTCAAATTGTGACCATATCTATAACACAGCGTTGTTCAACTGAACTGCAGTGCAAGAGTTTTAGTTATTCGAATATATTTTGAAGTAACGCCAACTTCATTTATAAAAACAAAGTAGGCTACCAGGAACCCATGCCCACATTTATACTACTTAGGGTAAATGAGGAAATAACATTTAAGAGGTGACTGACTAAAGTGTATTTTTGCTTGGTCGCTTATGTATGCACAAACGGGATAGTTTCAGCAGGGATATGTGAGTTTATTTCAGGCAGCAATTAAAGATAAAGATCAAAATATCCATTCAATATTGTTTAAATATTGCCTTCTGAGGTTTAGATGGCAATACTTGAACCTAAATTCGCAACAATTGAAGTAGAAATATATATATGCCCAGGGGCGTAGACAACGGGGGGGGGGGGGGATGAGGGGGATGCATCCCCCCCACCTCACAAGGTGGGGGGATGGCATGTACAATCATCCCCCCCAGGTTTTGGGGAATGATATTTGCTTACTTAATAAGTCATAATGATGATAATAATAGTAATAATAATAATGATAACAATTATAATATTAATAATAATAATAATTATGATGATGATAATAATAATCCTCATCATTATTGTAATTGTGTTTATTGTTATTAGCCGCATTCACACGGTGAAAGCCAATTCAGACGGTAAAAAAAAGAAAATCTTACAAGTATTTTGTGGTTATCTTGTGGTTTGGAAACCACAAGATAACCACAAGATTAAACAGGCGCGGATCTACGGGGGGGGGGGTTTAGAGTGTTTAAACCCCCCCCTTGGGCGGCCCAAAAAACAAACAAAACAAAAAAAAGGGGAAAAAAAAAGGGAAAAAAAGAAAAAAAGAAAGAAAAAAGAACGCACGCTGGAGAGAAACCCTTTCAAGTGCAAATATTGTGAGAAGATATTCAACTCATCTGGTAACTTAACCAAACACATGATAACTCTGGATATAACTGTGTATTTAACTGTTACTTGATTTAAAAAGACGTTATCATGCACTGCTTTTTATGGTCTCCATTGTGTTAATAGATGCCAGGAAAACATCACTTACGGGGTTCAAATAAACACCCCAAAAAAAATCGGCTCGCCGCTTCGCGGCTCGTGGACGATGCTCCGCATCGTCATTATTTTGGTCAACCCCCCCCTTAGCAAAAAGCTAGATCCGCCCTTGAGTCATCCCCCCCCCCAGGTGTACGAACCTGTCTACGCCACTGTATATGCCCATAATGTTCAATTTTGAAGTGCATTTGCGATATCTATCAGGACGGATCGAAATGATAATTTACCAATATATGAGTCAGTTAGTAGGCGGTTTCCCGGCAAAATTTGTATCATCACGTATTATTCAAAACATATTCTTTCACATGATTGGTAATAAGAGCTTTCACTTCCTTTTTTGAGAGGGGGGGGGGGGGGTTCTAAAACTGGTCTATTATAAGGTCCAATTAGTATCCCAATATGATGATATGACAATATTTGGGCACCTTGCTGCCCGAATATAATTGTCATGATTCGGGTAGCATGCATGGCACCCAATACAAACATAACCTAATTTATTGTATTATATCGAAATGAAATTCATTCCACAACTTACAAGTAGTGTCCTTTTTAATTGGCTCAGTGGGCTTCACTTCTCGCAAAATTGATCAATCAAGATTGATTCTTATAATGGCAACGATTGTATATAATTTTTACATCTTATATGTATATTGATGACTAAATGCCATTTGTTATCAAATGTGTGCCTTTTTATATTGTTTTATTACTCCTACTGCCTAAAAAAGAGGTTCTGAAGAAGAAGAAAAAACACACACACACTGATCACCCAGATCAGTAGAAGAGCAAAGACTGGTGCCCCCCCCCCCCCCAATGACTGCATGATATGAGCCCAATCTACGCCACTGTGTAGTTGGATAAGGTCTACGCACAGAATTTGTTTACCACAAACTATGCAAATTAGTTTGAAGCTTTTTGTTATGGAAAGAGAGCATATCTCTCACCGGTATTGCGCGATCGAGCGGGGAATCCCAAGCCCCAAATTTAGAAAAAGGGATCACGGTTCTGCAGGCAGCTATAATATAAGGACATCCATGATATCCACAGTCTGGCACCTCGCTGCCCGAATATGGACAGAATATTAGCCAGAATAGGAGTACTATATTACAATGAAATGTCGGTTCAAACCAAGGCAATGATAAAATGATTCGAGAACCTGAAATACAAGCAATTATATTGCCCACCATCTGCAAAACATTTTTTTTTTAAAACTCGTATACTGGTATAGATCTACTAGCTAGACTAGCTAACTAGATAGAGACACAAACTATATATATACGCGGTATATAAGCTTCACTAGTCTACTCTCTAAAACTTGATTTCTAAGCTGAGCTGAAGAAAAAGAGAAAAACCGAAATGCCATTACTTTTGCTATTAGACATGTTAGAAGGCTATTTGGCAGATTGCTGTCATATCCAGTCTAAAATCAAGTTAGAAAAGCTAGGTAAGTTTAGTTCAAAACTATAGTGCAACGTGCATGTCATTGTCTGTCTCAATCTCATCTTACTGATGATCGAGTTCGGTCTATGAAAGTACGGGACTTGTTATAACCCCACTCATTCATTTTTTTGTATGGTAATGCTTAATGGTACCCTCATTTTTCTGGTCAAATAGCTATGTTGAATCAACGTGCAGCTTCTACTGCGTAGGTAGATATGCAAATAGATGGCTGTATCATGTTGTCATTTGCAGAAGTGTGTAAATGCAGTTGCAGATTGGGGGTGGTGGGAGGGGGGGGGGGGGCTGTCAGGTGCAGGTGGGGATCCACAGGGGGGGGGGGGGGCCTGATCCCCCCCCCCCCAAAAAAAGGAAAAGGAATAAAAAAAAAATTCTCGTGAATTGGGCCTCAAAAAAACTTACCCCCCCCCCAGCCCGCTTAATCACTCAATGGTCCCTTCAAAACTGGAGGGAAAAAAAAGAAAAAAGTGTTCTTACCCACCATCCCTCCCCCAACCCCGTACCCCGCCCCCCCTCCCCCGCTTTTATATTCGACGGCTGGGTTAGTCGCTGCTAAATATTTTCTCTTGCCGTCAGACGGATAAACAAAATCTTATGCCCCATTTACAAGGCATTTTGAGTACATATTTTAACAAAAACGATGAGTCAACATTTTTTAGTAACTTTATATAATGATCATGATCATAATAATAATAATAAATTACATAATTTATAAAGTGCTTAATCCAATATGTCTTTAAGCGCTTAACAAAACAAGGTAGAACGTAAAATAAACATACAGTACAGCAATAATAGTTTAGTACATAATTCTAATAATAACATTACAGACAAGTAAAACTTACTTTAAACAAAACTCCCCTATAAATTACTATTAAACAAAAAATACTTCAAAATTTCCTTTAAAAACTCTACAGATGGGGATTGACGAATACTATTGGTAAACTGTTCCATTCTGTAGGGGCTGCAACAGCAAAAGTATGATCACTGTATGGTTTGGGGACCAAGCCAAGAGCATATTGGAAATTAGCATGTGTAGTTAACCGTAATGAACGTGATGGAACAAGGTTTGAGAAGGTGTTTTAAATATGATGGAGCATAACCATATTTAATTTTGAATACTAACAAAAGAATCTTGAATTTTTAATTGATAAGAATTATGCTTCTACTTCTATTTCCTAAAAAAAGGTATCATATATGATTGCCAGGCCTTATAATAACCTGCTTTAAATCGGTTTCCTGATTTTGTTTATTTTTTCCTGATTTTTTTTTTCTTTCCGATTTGTTTTCTTCTTTTTTCCCCCGATTTATTAAATTAATTATTTTTCCTGATTTTTTCCAATTTTCTTACTCAAAAGGGGAGAATGTTGTTCGATGCCATTTTTTCCCCTGCAAATCCCCTATTTTTTTTTTTTACTCAAGGGGGGCTTGGATTGAGGGAAAAAAGAAAATTGTAGGCCTATGCCCTATTCACATGAAAATAGTTTGATCTGATTTCCTTTCCAATAAATTTGCTTTAGTACAACTATTCCCTTCACAGATTTTTGGTTCACTATACCTATACACTATACAATATACCGTGTCAATGTCATGTCTGGTTTCCTGGCACTATGTTTCATCAGGTAGAATTTATGATTTACTTTTCTTCTCATTGATAGGCATCGGCTAACTGAGAAAGAAGACAACCATGGATTGGGAAGGAATGTGAGTATATATTATTATATCCCTCATGTATAGTTGTTTGCATTGCGATTGTACAGAGCACGGAAAAGGTATAGATAAGTACTATCTACCTGAGATAGTACTTATTGTAAAGTAATTTTTTGCTGCTACCCCACTTGCCCACCCTTGCCCATTGAATACGCATAGCAAAGTAGGTTACGCGAAATGTCAAAGTCAATGTCAATGTCAAATGAGCGCGCATCGACTGTATTACATGTATGCATGTTGCGCTTTGTAAAATCTAGCTGAAGCTAAACTGTCTGCAGAATCAGTTCTTATTATTATGTAAAATTCACTTTACGGTAAATAGACCTTATTGCTGATGTGGGATATAAAACAAATATTAACCTCCTTTATTCGGGCAATGGATACAAACTATCATCGCCTCGGTGATCTCGGCGATGATAGTTTGCAACATTACCCTCGTAGTCGATTAATATTTGCTTACTATGTAAAACTATGATAAAAATGTGCCAATATATCACAAGCTTGAATATATACATGTATGTGCATGTTTTCTGTAGTGAAATGAGCAAATATACATAAAATAACATAATTGTGAATTTCATTTTTATGCCATTTCTTTAACAAGTAATTACATTTGGTTTGTGTGAACATGTTAACCCATTGCCTACTGAAACCAGATGGTGAAAGTCTTCACAGTATTCAGATTGAATTAACAAGTATTTGATGATTGTTTGAAAGTAGGCCTACATGTTTGCATGCAAGAAGAAAAATTGGAGAGTAGATGTGCGGTACAACCATTTGGTTAGTTCCTATAAGGACTGTTTGTATTCTGTTGATTGAGAAGTCCTGAGAATCAATAAGTTAACCTGTCCTTAGAAGAGATAAAAATGAGATAAAATTTAGCAGGGAATCAGCTAAATGGGGGCATGTAGCATGCACTATTTCTGTTTTTACTCAACACGTACCTCCCTCCCCCATCCCCTTGAGCAAAAAAAAAAAAGTATTTTTTCTTCTCCGATTTTGGGCAAGGGACACTTTTTTTTTTACCCCTTGCCCCAAATCGGAGAAGAATTTTTTTTTTTTTTTTTTTTTTTTTGCTCAAGAGGATGGGGGAGGGGGTACGAGTTGAGTAAAAAAAGAAATAGTGCATGCTCCATACCCCCATTCCCCCCTGCTGATTCGCTGCTAAAAAAAATTCTCATGAAAAAAACATTTAGGGCTCATTAATTACTAGGTTTGTAAACACACGTCAAAATGCGTCATATGACGCACATAAACCTAGGTTTGTCGACAAACTTCCTTTGTGAATTTGGGCCATAAAGTCTCATTTATTACCTCAACTGAACTGCCTTTTCCTGTATTGTATTTCTTTGTTAACAGGAATGGTATAGTCCAACAGTGGAGACATCAGCATTCTCCTTTTTTCAAGGCAAGAAATACAAGATAAATGATAGAGGGATGAAGGAAGAGAAGAAAAGAAGAGAGGAGAGTGAGAGAAAGAGGGAGAGAGAGAGAGGGGTGATATCGAGAGAGAGAGAGAGAGAACAAGAGAGCGAAAGGAGGGAGAGAGAAAGAGAGGGATAGATACGAATGTTGGGTGGAGAGTAGGGGAGAGAGTGGAAAGAAGGAAATGGTAAAAAGAAAAACAGGAAAATAACATGATTGAGAACGCGAGAGAGAGGAAGAGGGGTGGGGACATGGAAAGAAATAAAAACATAAAGAGAGATGGGGGTTGGGGCAGAGAGTGTGAGAGAGAGAAAGGAAGGGAGAGACAGAGGGAGAGAGAGAGAGAGAGAGATGGGATAGTTGGATGGAGGGTAGGGGAAGAAGAGTGTTGATGGGTAAGAATATAAATTCTATTTTATTGACTAGATCAACACAAGAATAAACTTAATATAGGAGATACATTACATTTTCTTGTAAGTTTGGCGTGACATCATCAATGTTTTGTTAACAACACTAAAGTGCAAGTTTGTGCATGTTTGTGAAAATGTTATTAGTTTTGTAGCAGGTCTATAAGGGAGAATAGTCGCATCTCAACTAGTTTAAGACTCTATAAACTCAACTTTTACAATTTTTAAGCCTATTCTCTGTGGCACATGTAATATCAAACCTCTCCTTGTTTCTCTTACCATGAAAGGATTGCATTCTGAATTTCATTGACAACCTGAACATAGTTGCTACCGAACTCCTTAGGGAGGGAGACTACCTCACTGCTGCTGGACACTTGGCCAAAGCGATCCAGCTGTTCAATGTTCTGGACCGAGATGGGCATCTGAATGATAGATGTGACCTGGCCAATCGGAATCTTCTCTACTTTTTGCATGCGGAAGCTTGTATACGTTGTGTAAGGACTAACGTTTGTTTGCATTTGTCATTTGTGAAAGGAATTGATGCGATGTCTTGTGTCATTGTAATCAATACCTGCATAACTTTTGAGGTATTCAGTCTCCCGCAGCTTTGATTTGATAATAAATTCCTTCTTTTCAGATAGTTATGAAGAAGCAAACTGCGACATTTTTTAATCAGGCCTGTCAATAAATGGCAACTGTGCAAAGCGGAAGGTCCTATGCAAATTTACTGAAATACAGAAATTATGAAGCCTATTACCCTGACATGTATGTCATCATAAAGGAAAAAGACTGTTGTGGTTTTCTGTGTCATATCCAAATGAGGGGAAGGAGAAAATTACCAGACTTGACTTGAAGGAATAGATACGTTTCTGTATCACAGTCAAAACAACCAAGAGCATTAGAAATGCAGAAAAGCAAGAAGAGAAAGCTTTAATTGCTTGTCATTTTGAAAAACACTGGTATGTACGTATGATGGGTAATTTCAAAGACATATTTTGCAAAGGATTTTGCCCCCTATCTGAGATGGATATGAAAATTGAACAAACAAAAGCAAGCTCAAACAATAAGAAGAATAATACACGGTTGAAAAGAAACAAAAATCAACTTTCAGCAGTTGCTATAAAGCCTAAGGAGGAACATAAATAAACCTGTATTTCTCTTTTTTTTAAAATATAGATGTAGCTCTGAATAGAATAATAATAATAATAATAATAATAATAATAATAATCTTTTAAAGTCCACTCCAAATTTCATTAAGTTAAATCAAAAATGGAAATTCTTTTTGCCCAATTGATCGTGAGCCCGGTAGCCACTGAGCAGCCCCAGATCGACATTGCTCTATCCCTATTGTTGAACGCCAAACAAGGTAGCAGCAACCCACGACCTCCCGGTTGTGAGGCGGACGCTCTACTGACTGAGCCAACACACCGGTCATAAAGCAGGAACAGTCAATTTGTTTCAAGTTATCATTTTTTCCACGGTCATTTTATTTCTTTGTCTATTTCTCTTTTGTCCACTTGTTTGTTTGCAGTCAGATCAGTATCCAAATGGATTGCAATTTCTTGAGGCAGCTCTTCCAAGTTTACAGAGAGGTAAATATTTGTTTTCTCTGTATTTTAGAAAGCCAAGCCAACCTCGCCAAAGTGTGTAGATTTAGTCCACCAATCTATGCAGTGCCATAAAAAAATAAAAAAATGGAATTAAATTGAAAATGCAGAAATATGTATATTTACTGTTTATGGCCTCCGCTACAAAGTAGTCGGAGGCATTAATTTGTTTTTGGGTTGTCCATCCATCCATCCGCCCTAACGTCCGTACGTCCGTACATCCCGTTCTTTTGATCGATTGATTAATTCTTGCCAAACTTGGGTCATGTATGTAGTCAGAGTCAATAGAGTGGTAAAGTGTGACGTGATCAAAAATCTATTTTTGGAATTTCTCAATTTTTCCTTCATTTTCCGAAAGAGCATAAACAATAATGCCCGAATATTGAAAACCAATTGAATATATTAAGTATTGGCTGAGATATGACCATCTGAATAAATATATGTCCTATGGAAACTCAGTTTTATAATGCTCTGGTTCATAACATTAGGAACCAGAGCACTATAACACTGAGTTCCAAGCTTCGATACTCTATGAACTGATTAGATTTTGGGGTCACAAGGTCAAAAATCACAGCGCTCATTATGTATGCAAACATAAATGAAATGAGAAACTTTTCCACCAAACATGAAATTTGTAAATAAATGTGCTCCTTGGTTTTTAAAGATTTGCCTGAAAAGATTTTTGTTGATCTTTTTTTCTATTTATATTCATTGACCTACACAAAAAACAGTTGACAAATGTTTCTATTTACAACCTGAAGGTTGATCATGTTGATGCATGTTAAGGAAGATTTATGCACAATTTGCACATTAAAAAGAAAGCATAGTGTGGATAATGGTTAACTTAGCATTTATCAAATTTGCTATATAAGGGACTATATTTTTCTTGATCCACTTGTTTGACATATTGTGATTCTCATGTTTTAATTTAATGATATCACAATACTTCTGTCTTGTGCAGAAAATTACATTCTATTCATGATTATTTACTATTTCTCTTTTTTAAAAGTCTCTGGTGCCCTTATTGATGATAAGAAAACCCTCAGACTTGTTGCCAATTTGAAGAAAGAATTGCTGGAATACACAAACTCGGACGGTTTGGCAAATGTTTCACTGGACAAAATCAGGAAATACAATACAGAACTGCTCACTTTTGACCCTGATAAAATGGTAATATATGAGCATGTATTTTCTATTTTCATTTCAATGCATCCTTATGGATATTAATGTACGTTATAAGCATTTACTCTTTGTTGTCATTCATTTTATTATTTTTCTTCCTCATATGATAAATGTTATACTGTCATTACTATCAATACTAATAGTACTATTATTTAATTAGTATATTATTGTTATGACAAATAATATCATTTTCTGAGGTGTTACATTTCCTTGAATTGGTGCTTGAACTTCAAAATGAATCAATGCAGAAAAAGTCATGAGCATGATTTTTCCATTGAATGGTTAAGAAAAAATGGAGCAGAAAACCATAGTTCTTAATAATGTTATATTGTTGACTACTTAAATGATAAAGATTAATCCTCTGGGGTATGAAAGAGACATCTGTTGAGAGCCAGATTTGCATTAACGAGTGGGTGCAGTCCAGGCTCCAGGTGTTATATAATAATGCACACTTTTCTTAAAAAGAGGAATTAATGCATCTGTTGTAATTGGTAAATTAGAGAGAGAGAGAGAGAGAGAGCAAGAGGGAGAGAGAGAGAGATAAATGGATAGAAAGATAGAGAGAAACAGAGAGAGAGATGGAGTGAAGCTACGCATGTAGTATACAAATTTATTTGAAATAAATAATCTTGTCTTTCATAATTTCTTTATTAAAAAAATCTGTTAAAATAATCTTTTTCGACAAAAATCAATGTGCATGTAGTAAACACATTTTATAAATGAACACATTTGAATTCATACGTGGTATTGTATTCAGGAAGAGAGAGGAAGAAGGAGAGGGAGAGGATGAGGGAGGGAGAGAGGAGAGAGAGAGAGAGTATGAGTGAGAGAAAAGGGTGAGGAGTCCTTTTCCAGCTGCATATTTTCCCACTGACGGTCGTCAAAATGAGATATTTATTGCAAGTAATTGTTTGGCAAAAGAGCTTATTTTCATTCCATAGTTATGTAGTGATCATTCAGGAAGGAAGTGTGATTTATGTTCACATACTGCACTGACATTATGCAAGAGAATCCTCTCCATAACAGCAATTGTGCAATACCAGAACAAAAACAAAGGGCTGCTCAAAATGTGGAATTCCCCACTCAAAAAACCATGTAAAAAAGCCTTGGCAAGGAGATGCATTCATGTTTTGTCAGTGGCTGCCTCTTAGAAAACGAAGTAAGCTGAAAAGTGACTTTCCTTGTGTGCTCCACTTTTTTATGCAAGATACACAAACATGTACTAGTTGCCTGCGAATTGGTGAGTTAAGAATAATATTATGCCTGCTACATTGTACATGTATTTGAAGATGGGTGATTATGTCGAGTTGGAAATACATACTAGTAGATACATTGACAGCCACTTTATAGAGACTTTGCATTATACAAAGAACTTTCAACTCTAATAACCAGGGGATTGCTTTTATAGTGTATACAAATATTCTAGGTAGATATGTTTAGTGCAAAATGTGGTTTTAGCTTACCTCTTCTATAAACTTTGATTTCTCCTTGTCGTGATATATATACTCCTTTGCATTTTAGACGCTGAAGTACATGCATTGTACTATTGCCTGGCCAGACTCGGCGGCTTTAAATGCAAGAGCAATAATGTGTATATTTAGCATTATACATAATGTGACATACAAGGCCTGTCTTTATCAGCTCGATGTTGCCAAATATCCCACTATTTTCAGACTCAGGATATTATCCTAATGCTCGAAATCGCGTCTTCATCACCAGCCTGATACGCTCATCACAAACTAGCTCGAAAAATAATCTTAAGATTGACGCATGCGCACTTCAGAGACCGACTGTACGATCAGCACGTGGATTTAAAATTTTACCCGCTCTGTAAAACATAAACAAGTACCGGCTGTCAGTGGCTGTGCAT